TATTTTGAATCACCCTGTATTGGTAGCCGTGTAAGAGCTGCGGGAGCGCGAGGCACTGTCCGCGAGGCGCTGTAATCTAGTAGTATGTAATGGCGGAAGAGAAGAGTGAACACGGACTATCTCCGCCAGTCTCGTCATTAAAAGTGATAGTACACAAGTATCTACAATTTCCTTTACTCAACCCTTAAACATTGGCACCCAACGTGGGGCCATCGGACGCGGGAAGCTGAGAAGAAGATCTAAGTGCTAGAAATTGTGGGATTCAAGGTACATAGCCTCACGCCGGTCCGTCAAGAAGACGCTGGCGTAGCAAAAATCCACACGCGCAACGCCTGTGAAAACCAGTGAATCGGAACGACGAGACGCGTCTCACAGACAATAAATAGTTCGAGAAATACGTTTGGTCAAACGTACGGCGACGAGAACGCAAGGCATCTCTCGATCTCGCTTGCTACGACACAACGTCTATTTCTCTCTCTGTCTCTCCACGAGGCATCGCGCGCTTAGCGGCGCAACGTCTGTTTCTCTCTCTGTCTCTCAACGAGGCATCGCGCGCTTAGCGGCGCAACGTCTATTTCTCTCTCTGTCTCTCCACGAGGCATCGCACGCTTAGCGACACGACGTTAGGCACGAGCAACGAAACGGCGAGAAACTCGCTCGCTCTCGCTCTCTCGCTATCTCTCCACAAAGAAACGCGCGAGGCGTCTCATCGACACGAAGGAAACCAAGACGAAGGCTGAATTTCTTCCTGCAACAAGGATCGCGCGCTCGATCGAACGAGGCTTCGCACTTTGAGGAAGCAAGGGACAACCACGGGCAGGAACGATACACGCAACGTGGGGCTAGAAGTCAGGTAGGAGAGTCGCAAAAGCTCCGGTCATTATCCAACGAGAACACTGGTAAGTTCGAGAAAAATGACGGATAACAAAGAATGGCGAGCCAAACGCGCGGCGATAAAAGGTACAGTCACGCGCGCGTTGACGTTTTTCGAGTCACCGGGGAAAAAGTCAGTAGTCGACGCAAAAATAAGGTTAGCTAAACTCGAAGAATGTTAGAAAAACTTCGAAGAGATACAATTGAAAATCGAAAGTAAGCATACGGAAGATGATGAAGATGATGAAGTCTTTAAGCAACAGGTCGCCGAGGGTGAAGCGGAAAGGCAGGCTTTCGAAATGAATTATTTCAAAGCAGCGGGCAGGGCTCAAGAGATCATCGAACAGGACCTGTTAGAGCAGCGACAACAGAATCCGCCCGTACAACAGAATCCGCCAGTACAAGAGACCGGGACGACTTCAAAAGTCGTTCCACAGGAACCAGCGCGGCAACGACCAAAATTACCGGAAATCAAACTCCCTGAATTTAGTGGAGAATTCACGCAATGGATGTTCTTCAAGGATAGTTTCGAAACAACCATTCATCAAGAAAAACAATTAACGGCGATGCAAAAACAACAATATCTCGTGGGTGTGCTCAAAGGCGAGGCACTAAGCGTTATTCAAGGTTACAAAATCTCGAATGAAAACTATGAGCATACATGGAAGTTGTTAAAAGACACATATAATAATAATATAATCATAATCGAAAGTCATCTAGAAGAATTATTAAATTTTCCAGCGATCACAAAGGAAAATAAAGCGGACTCGATACGGCAGTTCGTGTGGCACATCCGGACTCACATGACGTCGCTCAAGGCACTCGGGTTACCAGTCGATCAGTGGGAGACAGTCCTTATGCATCTCGCGAAAAAGAAGATAGACTTCACTGAGCAGCGAGATTGGCAAAACACCATTAAGGATCGTACGACGGAGGACCTGCCAAAAATGGAGGAATTCTTGAAATTTCTTACAGATAGATGCAACACGCTGAGGGTTCTCAACCAAGCAAAGCCGAAGGCATCGGGAGCGAAGCCGCCGGAAAAGAAGAAAGTGGAGAAGAAAACAGTTCTTACGTCTACTACACCAGAATGCAAATTCTGCAAGGGCTCTCACTCGATTTACAAGTGCGAGGAGCTTCAAAAGCTATCGCCCGACAACAGGAAGAAGGAGATTATGGTCAAGAAACTATGCGTGAATTGTCTCGGAGCGGGACACATTGCGAGGGATTGCAAATCGATTTCATGCAAGAAATGCGCTAAGCGTCATAACACGTTGCTGCATAGAGACACCGAAGGGCAGTCCGGCGAGAACAGCGAAAAAGAGGTACCGCCGGTCGTCACACACTGCGTGCAAGGATCGACGAGCAGCTCCAAGCTTCCAACGATGACTAAAGACGAAGGAAGTTTAGTGAGGATTTATTACACGCACAAGCCAAAGGGAAACGTTATTCTTTTTACAGCGCGAGTGAACGCGTACGACAGTCAAGGACATTTACACGAATGCAGGGTTCTGTTGGATCCCGGCTCTCAATCTAACCTGATAACGGAGAGTTTTGCGAAAGAACTCAAATTGTCAACTCGAGCGGAAAAACGACCCATCAGCGGTATCAATCAAACAAGGACGAACGCCACGAAGGTGACAAAAGTTCGAATTAAATCCATTCACGAAGGATTTTCAGCTGATCTAGAATGTTTGATATTGCCGGCAATAACAGAGCAATTGCCACAGAGTCGGATCGACGTAACGAAGATACGGATGCCGAAAAATCTACGCTTGGCTGATCCAGTATTTGACAAGCCAGACACCATCGATCTGCTCATAGGAGCAGAACTGTATTGGAAGATTCTCGTTGGAACACCGAAGAATCGTGATCCAGGACACCCGGCGTTGCAGAATACACGTTTAGGATGGATCGTAGGAGGGGAAATACCTGGTCCGCGAGACAATTCATCAATAACACATTTAGCGATCACTAACGACATGCTGAACAGCCAACTTGAAAGATTCTGGAGACAAGAAGAGATTCCGGAAACCATTCAATACACGGAAGAAGAAACGTACTGCGAGAAACACTTTGAAGAGACAGTACAACGGGATGTGGATGATCGATTCGTCGTAAGGTTACCGCAACGATCAGAGGTTCATTTAGGGGAATCAAAGGAACAAGCTCTCCGGCGATTGCTGTCACTCGAACGAAGATTCACAAAGGATTCGAAGCTCAGAGAAGGTTATGTCAACTTCATGGATGACTACTTGAAGAAAAATCACATGTCGCTATCCCAGAATATAGAGACTCAAGAAGCGGAGTGCTGCGTACTTCCACATCAGGCTGTGGTGCGACAGGAAAGTGTGACTACAAAACTACGCGTAGTTTTCGACGCATCAGCGAAGACAACAGTCGGCACATCATTGAATGATAGGCTCATGCCTGGACCGAATCTACAGCGGGAGTTGGTGGACATAATTCTACGATTCCGAACTCATTCCTACGTCATAACTGCTGACATCGCCATGATGTACAGGCAAATCCTCGTTAACGAAAAGGATCGCGCATTGCAGCGCATACTGTGGAGGAGAGATCTCAGCGAGCCGATACAATTATACGATTTGAATACGGTGACGTACGGTACATCGTGTGCGCCTTATCTGGCGATGCGTTGTCTTAGAGAGCTGGCAGCGGTTTCGCAAGACCTGCCACAAGCTGCGAGAGCTGTAAACGCAGATTTCTATATGGACGATGTCCTAACCGGAGCTCGAACCAGAGAAGAGGCTACCGAGCTACAACGACAACTTTCAGAGTTACTACTGCGAGGGCAATTCCAGCTTCGGAAATGGAGATCAAACGAGGCGAGAATCCTGCAAAATCTCGCCGAGGGAAGTAAAACCGACGAATTGCTGATTCTAGATAAAGCAGAAGCTGTGAAGACTCTAGGACTGCTCTGGAACGCTGCAGAAGACTGCTTGCAATATCATGTGGAAATCGAGATAACAGAGACTACTACCAAGCATATAGTTCTTTCGAAAATCTCAAATATTCGACCCCCTGGGATTGATAACACCACTCCTTATAACTGGAAAAATCATTATGCAATGGCTATGGTTGCTCGGGACGGATTGGGATGAAATTATTCCTGACAAACCCAGGGAAGCGTGGGAAAATCACTACGAGTCCTTGCCAAGAATCAATGAACTAAGAGTACCAAGAAACGTGGTACACGCGCACTCGAATGGAAAATTTGAAATTTCCGGATTTGGAGACGCGTCAGAAAAGGCCTACGGGGCGTGTCTGTACGCGGTGAGTGTCGACGAGGAAGGAAGAAAGCACTCTCATCTCATCTGTTCGAAAGCCAAGGTAGCACCGCTAAAAACAATATCCTTACCGCGTTTGGAGCTCGAAGCGGCGTTACTGCTGTCAAATCTCTTTGCCACCGTGGAAAAGGCCTACGGGGAGAGCATGCTGTAAAGCTATGGAGCGACAGTACTATAGTACTAGGCTGGTTCAACACTCAACCGAACGTTCTGAAGACTTTCGTGGCTAATCGAATTTCCAAGATCCAGAACATCACATCGAAAGCAACGTGGAATCACGTACCCTCTGAAGATAACCCTGCGGATATGCTGTCGCGAGGAATCACTATAGACCGCTTAATCGGAGACGAGTTGTGGTGGCATGGACCGAAGTGGATAAGGGAGGAAAATCCATGGCCAATGGACATGAAGAACCCGGAAACAGCTTTGCCTGAATTAAAATCGATACCTGTCACTCTCGTAGCGACAATCGCGTCGAGTGTTCTTGAAAGGTTTTCATCGTTCCTAAAATTGATAAGAGTCATCGCCTACTGTCTTCGATGGAGAAGCCGCTCACTGAAGACCGCAAGAAACCGTCCTCTCACCGTGGAGGAGCTAGGAAAAGCCGAGAAAACCGTTTTAAAATTGGTTCAGCAAGAAGTCTTCTCTCACGAAATTCGAGAATTAACAACTGATCGGGATGTACATCGCAAGAGTCAATTGAAAGCATTGGATCCCGTCTTGGACCGCGATGGATTGATTCGCGTCGGAGGTCGATTCCGAAATGCAGACCTTTCCGACGAGCAAAAGCATCAGATAATCCTACCATCAAGACATTTCGTCACGAAGCTGATTATGAAAGCCGAACACGTGAGACTACATCACTGTCCACCCGCTCAGCTATTGAGCGCCGTGCGACACAAATTCTGGCCGTTAAGCGGCCGCCG